TTTTCTAAAGATGACGATAGTGAAGGCAGAAAGTAAAAAAAATATATATATATATATATATATATATATATATATATATATATGAGAGAACGTTCTTAAAAAAATTCATTACCTCGAAAATTATCAATTCGACTGCAATTATCCTTTTCTCAGTTTAATTCGTAGTGCGATTTAAAGAAAGCGTCGTATTTTTAGAGCGTCCTGTTTAATGGAAAATTTCTATCGCGGTGGGCGTCATTAAATATCGATAGGGGTTTTCGATATACGGGGAGCAATGTGTGCGAGAATGGCGATTAAACATTGACACGATTTTGGAATGGCGCGCCGACGCGCAAAATATTCGCGTGACGCCGTGACGTGGTGGTGAAGGTCACGTAAAGACGCGTTCTTGCGAAGGTCTCGCTCGCGCGAGATCAACGTTCCCAGGACGCGTAAGAGGATAGTCAAAAGTAAGACCGAGTCAAATCGTGGAATCCGAAGGCCCCGAGAACGCGCGGGGCCGACGCGCGCGGCAACGACGGAGCCGAGAGGCTCACGGTCGAGCGTCCGCCAAGCGGCGCGCCTGGCAAAGAGAGAGAGCGCAGGATGCTGGCCGCTGCTGCATGCTGCATCTTGCATATATGTATGTTTTATGTCAGCATGCACATTCTGCATTTGCGCCGTTGCCACGTCTTCGCCAACGCGAGTTCTTTCTCTCTCTCTCGTTCTTTGCTTCTTTCCCCGCCAGCCGCTCATTCCGCGTCCTCCTCCTCCTCCTCCTCCTCCCCCTTTTTCCTTCGTGTGTATATCCTCGCGCGTCTTTTCTTCTCATTAAATCCCGTCCTCTTCTATCCATCTCGTCTCTCTCTCTCTCTCTCTCTCATCTTTTCTTTTGCCGCGCACGCGGCGGTAAAGAGAGGAGAGGAGAGGAGAGGAGTGGTTCTCGGATACGCGCGCGGTCTCTCTCACGAGACAGACGCTAAGATTTCTCGACCGCGAAAGAGCCACGAAATGGCAACTCTCGCTACCATCGCGCGTTTGTGCCCCGTTTTTTTTTTATCAACTACCCATCTTTCTCTTCCGCCGTCCCTCCTCCGTCCCCATTCCCCTCTGTCACGGATAATTTTTCTTTGTCTCGATATAGTATTGTCAGCATCAGCGATCTCGATCCTTTCGAGTCCACGAGTTCGAAATATACCGTTGTCCATTTTTAACCGAGTAACGTTATTCTACAAATATCTTTACAAGAAGCATTTATGCAATCATTTATATTATTCGTTACTCGCGGTACGTAACGTACGGAGATTGTTGTCGGAATTTAAAATTAGACATTGGATCG